TGACTTCAGAGATAACTAACCTGAATTAAGCGCTCTCCTTCTTTGACTGTCTACTTCAATTATCATCTGTAATAGCCAATTTTGCAGTCCTGTTCCTGCCACAAAATAGGGGTTCCACAGTGAGCAGCATTGTGCTCCTGATGTGGAAGATCTCTATAAGTAAGATTCAGGTTCAACTCAGTAATTACTGCAAAAGCCAGTTATCATTTTATTCATTAATAAATTAACTTGCATTGCAAAATCTGCAGGGATTTGTGTCTTCCAGCCTTACATTTCCTTCCCATTTTGCCTTTAATGAATTCAACATTACCACCTCCCTCTGTGCATTTAATTACCGTGCTGATTGCTTACTATGTATGCTACATGATGTGGAAAGAATGCAAAAGTTAAAAAGGAAGCACTCTCCCTGACCTCCCTGGGGAGAGAAACCAAAACCCATAAAAATTAAGAAAACACATTAAACTATCTGTGACACTTGCCAGATGAGTGGTCTGGATGATAGTACAGCCACTTTGGCTCAGTGATGGGACGTTATCATATCATCACCCGGCTGAGCCTGGAGCAGTCATGGTGCTCTGCAGGCCCCAACTTACCACCGGCTCTGTCCATCCTGGCTGCATTCCCTCCACTTCATGTCCACTGTCTGAAAATAAATCCTAACTTTTACTTTGTGTTCCTTACTCTCCATGAAGCTGAGTTCTTTATTTCTGTAAAATTCTACCACTATAGGCTTTATTTAACTTGCTTCTGATGCACTTATGAACAAGTTTCCAGATTTTTCAAAAGATAAAAGAGTTTATTTTTTTGCATGAAGATTACAAAATCATGCACAAATCATTTAGACAAATGTCCAAATATGAAAGTTTTCACTATAAACATCTGTTATGACACCTCCATATTCAGCCATGCATGCGACCCTGGGTCCCGGCTGTGCTCTCCAGGGAGACAAGGAACCATCAATGGATACAGGTGGAAAGTGTGGGGGCCGGTATGAGCCGCTCTTCACAGCCTTGGGAGATAGATGGGGAATCATAGGAATGCTGACTTTGCTGGACCCTCATCCATATAATTTTTGAAGGTAATTAGTAGCTCTCTAACAAATTAAGCAAATTAAATTATGAGAAAAAGAAGTTTGGTTTAAGACATAACATAACACCATTTACTAGGTAACTAGCTTAATGTATTGGATGTCTTGAAGGTGGCATACTGTTAGAAAATATAAACAGGTTCCAAGCCAGGCACAGTGGTACACATCTGTAATCTCAGCACTGAGCAGGCTGAGGCAGGAAGATTGCCATGAGTTTGAGGCCAGCCTGGGATACATAGCAAGACCCTGTCTCATCCCCCAAAAGAATATAAACAGGTTCCCAAAATGTTGGATACTTTTAGAATTCTGTACCTGATGGCTAAGATATTTCAAGGTAGTTTAGGGCTATAACTTTAGTGGTTTAAAGTTAGATTTTACCTATGATCTCAGTCTCATGAATGTCTCATGTTTCCCTTTCAGAATAAATATTCAGCTGGATCTATTACAGGATGCTGTGTTAATTTATGGCACAGGAAGAAAATAAAGAATTGAACCTTGTATTTGCATTTTTCACACTTTATTTATGTTCTATTTAATATGGGAATAAGTGTTGTAATATATATATATTACATTAAACATATATTTAAACACATATATGCACATATACATACAAGCAGATAAATACATAATGGACAGTGCCATCCCAAATTTTCATTGTTTTTTTATTAGGCTGTGTTTGATTATAAGCTATAGAAAGCCTGACTAACAATAACGTAGACGTAATACACCATTCTAATAAACATTTGCCTAACAAAGTGTAGGCAGATGTGCTTACCACTGTTAATCTAGCACCCTGGTTATTTCCTTTGTTATCTTCCCATACACATGTTTGACATGGTGGCTTTCAAGAACAAACTTTCATCTCATGGTGCACAGGTCTTACCTACCTGAAACCTCTCTTCTTTTGGGTATCACTGATGGATACTATATAGTGAAACCATTAGGAAAATTCACATATTTCAAATTTACCCATATTCACAGTTTACGTATAGGAGGAACAAACCCAATGTCCTATATTTGTTCATTATATTGTTATTTTAAATAGCAGTTAGGATGCTTTCTTTGCAACCGGCCAACGCATTATGAGAAATAAACATGCATGTTTTAAATCAGTTTGGGATTCTCCAAGCTGTGGAAATAGAAACTCTGAGTACATACGAAGGCTCTTGTCTCTTCACTATCCCACCCCGACTTTTGAGAGCCTTTTCCTTGGTTCTGGCTCTTCTGTAATGTGGTGAGAGATGAAGCCGGTGTGAGAAAGGAGTTGGCAGAGTGGGGCGTTAACCACGGAGACAGCAATTGTCAGAAGATTGGTTGTAATTGCTTTGCCATTGTACTGCACTCGGACTGTGCAGCCTGTTGAAACCGCTGATTATGAAGTAAGGGTCTTACTTTTTATGCTGTAGGTAATATGAACAGAAAGCTGCTGTTAGAGGAATGATCAGTGAATATCAATACATGGATAATAAGTAATTAAAGGAAAAGTTAACTAAGTGATCATGAGTTAATATACTTAAGCAGTCAGAGTAGCAGTCAATGGTGCAGCATTTCATACCCAACATTGTGCTCAAAGCTCTTGAATGCTAAATACTTACCATAGAAAAAGACTGACTCCCTGTAGCTGTTGATCACATAGATCTTGACTATACAGATCTGCTGGAAAGTGGGACCTGTGTCCATTCCTCAGAACCTTTACTTTTGGTGCAAGTACTAAGAGGCTTATATTTGACATGGAAAAAATAAGTTCCCATTGTAAGAAAGAGGACACCAAAAGGCATTTTTGTAGTCTCATAGTATGTAAATGAGTCATGTGTGGGTGAGAGGCTGCATGAATCTGAAGGCATTGATTTTGAGTTATTCCTCAATATTAAAAACTGTACAAAAGTGATAGCCTGGATGTGAAGTTATATCTAACTTTCTGCTGTATGACATAGAGTAACTGTTGGTAAGGTTGCAATGAGGAGTTTAGTGGTCATTTCTTCTATCTGCAGCATTTTGATGGTTGGTGATGTCAGAGAGGTCAATTTCCTGGACAGTATTTTCACTGAGCACCAAGTCAAACCAGGCCTAATGCCCGTGCTTGGGAACTCGCAGGCTGCATAATCTCGGGAGCAAACTATCAGGGTGCTGAATGCATGGTGTGAGCAATGAGAAGCTACAGTGGCCCCTGGAGACATTATCTGAGCTACGGAGGATTTCTGGGTGTTTTCCTGCAAAACAAAGATTGGAGGAGAACAGTGGGCCAGAAAGAACAGTGGGGCTGATCCTGACATTTGCAAGACATAAAATAACAGTTGGAAATTAAGTTGTATTTCAAGTATAAGCAGAGGAGACCCCAGACAACCAAATTACAGAAGGCCCATGCCTGTCTTTGCTCTGTTCAAGATTTTGACTTCATTCTTATAGCAGAGACGTTCAGTATTATACCATACTTTTAAGCATTTATTTGTTTGTTTATTCACTTTTTGACGGAGCTGGGGATTGAACCCAAGGCTTCACAATGCCAAGAGTCGATGCACCACTGAGCCACACCCAGCCCTAATGAGGACCCCTTGACAGTGGATTTTCTTACAGATCTTCACCCTCCTATGATTTTGGACAATGAAGAGGGACAAACTCATTGTGACCTTATTTACTGAGCTAGATTCATGCATCACCCCAGTCAATATTGTTATCAACCTAGATCTATAAAAAGGAAATTAAAAGAGCTTAAATGCTCAACTTTTTAAATATGTATTTTTTTGACAGTTACAATAGAATTGGTATTAATACTTTAGTTGGCTCAAGCTCTGTAACTAGAAAAATGTCCATGTGTGGAAATGGAGCCTGTTTCCTGTAGGTAGCACATACTTATGGTTAGACTCATAATTGAGAACCAGATAGAGATGTATAGCTTAATTAAAAATGTAAGTAATTATGATTTTAAAAATACATATCTAAGAGAATGCTAAAAAATGACACTAATTTGGTCCTGTTAAATATTTACCAGAAACATTCTTCATATATAAGTATCTGTTTCAGAATTTGGAACATTTGCATTTTAATTACACAATAAAAGGAGAAAGAGAAAGAATAATTGACTTAGCTATTAGCCAATTATAGCTGTATCTAAAAAAATAACCCCAAATAGGCATGGGTGTGTACAGCAGATGCACAGTATGCATTGATCAGATGTTTAATGACATCTGACAATGACAAAGGGAAGGAATGTTGTTTCACTCCTTCAAACAACATATTTGTTAGAAGTGATATTATTGAAAGCACATTTGGGGTGTTTGTGTAAGGATCGATCATTCAGCAACTGCTGTTAATGTGTCCTCAATTGGAGCTTCTCTAGAGTAACTCCAAATGTTAAAATCTCGTGAGAAAAGATAGCAATCAGTTAATCTCAGGGGATTGTCCCGTATCATGTAGTGGCTGGATAGCCACCTGGCTGCCTGTGTTCCTTGTATAACATGGTGTAGTGTTCACATAGCAGGTGCACTTACCTCTATATACTTTACATCACCTTCAGATTACTTAACTACATAATTCAATGCAAATGCCATATAAATAGCTACGTGCTATACTGCGATGTGTAGGAGATAATGACAAAAATTGTGTACTTGTGTAGTAGGTGCAATTCCATTTTTTTCTTGCCAAACATTTTCCATCAGTGGTTGATTGAATTCCAGGGTGCAAACCCCGTGAGATGTAGAAGGGCAATGATCACTCAGATGAACACAGTGGGTGTCACCAGCACCCTGGTCAGTGCCAGGAAAGGTCTGTACTGTTTGTCTCCAGTCCCGTCCGCCTGTCAGAGCCATAGCCATAGCCCCTGCCCGGGCCTGCATTCACACATAGGGGACAGTGACACAGGGGACTGTGTCACCATGGCTGCTGACAGCATTTGCCTCTGTGCTCTCCTTGACAGATACAACAACATATTCCACCCAGCGATCCGAGCACTTCAAGCCCTGCCGAGACAAGGACCTGGCCTACTGTCTCAACGACGGCGAGTGCTTTGTGATTGAGACCTTGACAGGATCCCATAAGCACTGTCGGTAAGTCACTGCCACTGCTGCTGGTGGCCAGGATGGGCCTCAGCAGGACTCAAAGTGCAGCTGGGGAAAACTAAGTACTTGAGATGTGGGCAGTGCTGCTGACTCAGAGTAGAACTGAGCATCTTACCATCTTACTATGAAACAGAGCAAAGCAGACATCTAGCTCATTAGCGTTGAGGAAGAAACGATGGAAACAGAGTGGGTAAGGTTTGAGTACCAAATCAAGGTACATGTACTTTTTAGTTGCCAACTTCATGCAAATAATTATTTACTTGGGACATCTATGCTATGACAGGTGGCTTAGGCTCATATCCTTTTTGGCAAATCTAAGGATATTGGTGAGAGAAGCGAACTGCTCATCTAAGATCTTCCATGTTTGATGAGAGCCAAAGCCACAGAGCAGAAAATTGTATCTAGCAAGAACTGAATTTTGTTTTGATTTTGCCTTCCTTTATTAATTTCTGTATTTTTTAAAACACCTCTGATGATGGAACACTTGAGCAAGATGTTGTAAATGAAATCATAGTTGTGTTAGAGTCTAGTAGAGAACTACTGAAAGACAATTCCCAGGAGAGGTCAGGAAGGTGTTTAATTGGTTTTTGGAGACATAAGGTTATATAACTGCTAAAAATAAAATCAAGTGGAGATAAATAGTGCACTGGTAGATGCTGAAACTTTAAGGCTCAACAAAAGAATCAAGTTTGCATTTGAAAAATATTTTCCACCAAGCTTTTATTTCTAGCTTTTATTTCAAGCTTTTATTTCTACTCAGTAATTTGTTTTTCCTTGCACTTGTATACACTTCAGTGATCATATCTACCCACACCCCTTGCCTTCTCTTTATTTATCCTTCTCATATGACACAATTATTAAATTAATGATTCTTAATCATGAAGCATGGAAAATTATTACTTTTTCCCTCTCTGTTGCTAATATAAAACTTTATTCCCACATCATTTTATTAAGATGGTGCAGAGGAATGCATCTTATCACTGTGGAATGAGAATGTGAAAGCAAATACTTCCTGGCTGCAAGAGCCAGCTCAGTCCATCAGGAGGACATGTGGCCAGGGGGCCAGTGGCACAAGTTAGGACTGATGAATGACAGTAGCAGTCTCTGTAAAGATACCACAGGTAGTGTGTTAAGGCAAGAAGAATTGGGACATTTCCTCCCTTTGACATGCACCTTTCATGTGATTTGGGCAGTGCCATTTCATGGACAGAGATACAGAATTTTCTGCACCTTCCCATCCTCTGTGGAGCTGGGTTGCAGGGAAGGAGGAGTAAGGATTGTTCTCCACACTCCTCTTGCCATGTTGGACTGTGTCCATGAAAACATGAGTGGGAAGCCCTCAAGTGACATTAATACCTCAAGAGAAAGTGAATGAGCTACTTTTCCCAAGCCTGATGTGTGCCCAAGTTCCTGCAGGCACTGGTACTGTGTTAGAGTTATCTTTGTCACTAAGGGGACCATCTTGTGGAAGGAGGTGCTATGGAGCAGAATGGTTTGTTCCAGAGCTCTGTGCCCTGGAAGCCTAGTCTCCCATGTGTCCATGCGGAGTGTAAACTCTAAGGAAGTTGACCTGACTAATGAAAGGTAACCAGTGTCATGGAAGTTCCTCTCATGAACAGATTAATGCTGATGCTCAGGAGTGACTCTTGTCTAGTTAGAGATTAGTTTCTTCCAAGGCCAATTGTTATGCAGGAAGTGAGCCTGGTTTTTCCACCTCTCTTACTTCCTTCTTCACACATGTGATGCCTCTTCTCTTTCTGTTTTGCTACCATAATATTCTATAGCCAGGCAGTATTCACCAGGATGCTATTGCTGTTCTCTTTGGAACCTCCAGCTACAGAATGAAGAACCAAATCAATCTTTTCATTTTACAAGTTACTTAGCCAGAGGTATTTTCTTATAACAACACAAAGACAGTAGGCAATAGACTAAGACAGTAGGCAGTCAATCATCTGAAGTCCTAACCTGTTGAAGAAGGGATGAATTAGAAGTTTCAGCCAATCTAATGACAATCTTTCATGATTTGTTTAGCATAATGAAGGATCAGATCAGGCTAAATATAGTGTGTAAGTCACTTTGATTCACCTTACAAAACTAAGTATACAGAAAAGAGCAAAATAATTGTTTATGGCCTTGTTAATGTTCATGGACAATATATCCTTGCTAATTCTTCATATTTCTTAGGTAATAATTTGCTAGGGATACTCTAAAACCATGGCACACAGTATACCTTACCTGAAGGAGTTTTTTTCTCATAGTTCTGTAGATGAGAAGTCTAAAGTCAAGGTGCCAGCAGGGTTAGTTTCTTCTGCAGCCTCTCTCCTTTGCTTATCGATGGCTCTCTTCTCCCTGGGTCTTCTCATTGTTTTTCCTCTGTCAAATTTCCTCTCACAAAATACAATTAATAATTGACTAGAACCCACCATAACAACCTTATACCATTTACCTCGGTAAAGACCTTTTCTCCCAATATGGTAATATTGGGAAGGACTAGGGGTTTGTACTTTAATATAGGGGTTTTTTTTGGAAATGTAATTCCATCAGCAGCAATGGATCTCAGGTTCAGAAAAGTAATTCTTTGTTTTTATGTGAATGTATGTACATGTCTCATTTTTGCTACACACAGAGACATATCTGAAGTTTAACTGGAATGCTATACATGGATAATAATTTTGGCCATCTACATTCATATTTCTGGCATATTTCAGTTCAGACAACCTGTTATTTAACACAGAATGACAACACAGCTAATCATGACAAAAGACCAGTCTAAGACAGAATTGGAATTCGTGTAGGTTAATAGATGCCTATAAATCTCCTACTAGTGTGTATGAATAAATCACATATCACATGTGCCTGCTATTCATCTCCCAGGCTTTGCTGTGAATAAAAGGCATACATTTTTTCCTGCATCAGCCACTTCTAAAAATTCCAACATGGTTATTAATAATATGCCATTCTGTATAGCACTCTATTTAAGTAGTATGTTTCATTCTCCTTTTCCCATTTGACACATGTTTATTGAGCACTTCCTATCACCAAGATACTGTTGAATAAATATACACAGAAATGAATTTGAAAATTAAATGGCACACACTTTGTGATGTCTTTGAAGAGGTAAAATAGCTCATCATTAGGAAATAACAAGAAGAAAGCAAAGTACTTTAAAATGAGCCACTGTATGCTACCAGGGACCTCTTTATGACAGATTAGATACTGGATTATGTTTCAAATAAAGTAAGACACCATGTAGTATATCAGAGAAGACACCATGTAGTATATCAGAGAAGCAATATAAAGATGCATAGATGTATCTAGGTTGTTACTTTTTACATGTCACAAAAGATTATAAATCAAAAGCTGAGAGAAATTAAAATGATGTCCTACATAGGCTTCCTGGGAATCTCCAGCAGGGATCTGGGTCTGTCTGCCTCCTCTCTCTACCAATGACAGTGGAGACACACCATGAAATGGACACTACCACAAGACTGCAGACCCCAGAATAACCACAGGCAATCTCCTTTACTTTTCTTTTTTACTTTTTCTTTGTGTTTTTCTTTTTCTGTCTTTTCATGAGTATGAACATTGTTTTTACTTTTTCTGTTTTGTTTAGCACTTGCTTTTTCTTTTTCTTCTTTCTTTCACTCCTGTCTTCTTCAATTTCTTCTCAAAGCTTGAGTAATCTTCTACTGTCCTTCAGTCTTCCTTCTAATCTCTTTCTCTTCTTTTATTTCTTTAGTTTTTCCTCTTATCCTTTTAAAATTTTCTCTCCTGAGGGTAAAAGCAGTCTACTGAGGAGAAATTTATGGTATATAATTTTCTGATTTGTGTTATATTTCATTATATAACTATAAATCTTGTACATATGATTTAAGTCATTTGTAGATTGTACTTGATGCTATTGTTATTATTGGTTGCACTACTTTAGCCAAAATGGGAAAAAAATATAGTCCTGTGATAAACTGCTTCAAACATCTTTCCATGTTGGGAAAACAGACTGTGCTCTGACATGTATTCCTGTTTCTTAGTCAGGGAGGAATAGGAACAAAACTCCCGAACTACTCATGATAGGGACACTGATAATACATGCTCAGAACAAAATGGTGTTAATTTCAGGAAAAGACTTGGGGAGCTGATGTTTTTCCCTTTGTTACTTTCTCATTGTTTTGTGTCTTTTCAAATTTTTCAAAGTAGCATTTGTAGTGTTAAAAACTGTAAACTACAAAAACAATTTTATAAAGGTTTAAGAGGAAACCCAGGTACTAAAAATAACTTGTAAGAGAAATTTTTAAACTGATCAAAAGGGAGAATTTGTTTTTCTAAGTTATAATGCAGCATAAAGTCACAGATCAATAAGAAAAAACCCATCAGGAAGTATGGAAGCCTTAGGACAAGGTACCAGGGTGGATTCATAAATCAGAGAAAGAAATGAGGGACTGATTTCTCAATAGACGACTGACATCAGATAAATCAAATGCAAGGTGTATATTTACCTTTCTCTCAACACACAAAAGAAAATGTTTTAAAGGGAGTCAAAAGCTAATGCAATAAATAAATAAAGCCTAAAGAATACAGGAAATAAAACAACATACACATTTGTGTCAGCACTTGAAAGGACCTGCTGAGTAAAAGAAATAACAGAAGGAAAAATAGTTGACATATCACTGGCTTTCTCTTCTGAATAACATCAGTGAGAAAACAAAATTAAAACATAACCAATGAGCAAAAAGAAGACAAATATATCAAAGAATTATTAATATTCAAAAAAGGTCACATAGATCACTAAGAGTGGGACAAAAAATAAAATATCAATATAGAAGCAGCAAAAAGGAAAAAAAAAAAACCATGCACATCCCAAAAAGTGACAACAATTAATGCAGATAAACATGAAAGAGATCCAGCTTTACAGAGATATGCAAATTATGCTTTTGGGATATTTGGTTGTGTGTGAGGTGAAGGTGTGGGTTCTATTGCTCATAATATGTAAT